ACATTGCGGCTTCGATTGCTGCCGAAGAGCCCAGCATTTTCTCTATTTCGATTGCACCTGGTATTGTCGACACTGACATGCAGGTTCAGATCAGAGAGGATTTCAAGGAAAATATGTCCGAGGAGAACCACGCTGCTTTTGTTTCACTGAAGGAGACTGGCCAGCTTTTGCCCCCACATGTTCCTGCCGGAGTGCTAGCAAAGCTGGCCCTTTACGGCAAGGGCGACATCAACGGCAAGTACTTTGATTACGATGACAAGGAGTTGGCCGCTTACAATTAACAAAAAGTAAATATATTATTATAATTGGATTTTTATTATTATACTGTTTGAAAGCCTGTTCTAGTTGCTGTTGTCTGGGCAGTTGATTTTGCAGCTTCGAGACTTTTTACTTTTGATTTGATTTTGTTCACCGTTTTGGTTGTTTACTTTTTTCTCTTCCCCTTGTTGACATGAACTGGTGTAACTTTCTGTTCTGTCACTTTTCGGAAGTTAATTTCCGATGACTCAAGAAATCTATTCAACAGTAAGATATCTCCAGCCCCACACTCGTCTGGCTACTGGGGTAATCGCTCTTGCTTCTCTGTCGCTCCGTCTTCAATCCACCTGAGGAACTCCCGCAACGATCATGCGCCAGTTAACAGGTTCTCTTAATACTTTTGAAAGAAAAAGCTCAAACTTTGTTTAAAATGGTGAGCGCAAAATATATATTCCAGAAAGTGTCTGGAACTCCAACAGCACTTTTACCAATTTTCGGATACATCAAATGATGTTTGAAAAAATGTAGGTTTAAGTGGCAATGTCGTTAGCCGAGCCCTTTTTGCATTCTGTAAAATGCGGTTCAAGTTAAAGTTATATGGGCTTACATAGTACCCTCAGGAACTGATCATCTATTTTTTGTAGCCTAGATCTTAATATAGAGAAGAGCTAAGACATGTTGCGATGGATCAGATGAGATATTTGACAACTATCATGCTCTTTTAAATATCAGTAGATGAATAGTAGATAGAGAATCAGTTTATTGTTAGATGAAGAGTATCTTAGTAAACATTTTATGAGAATTAACCATTTTAACATTCAATATATAAAATAGCATGCTTAGGCTCTATTAATTTAATGCATCTTAAAACATCTTGCCTAATGGTTGATTTGAAGAGAACATCTTGTAAATGTTTTATTGCTTGCCAGTCTTTATCAAGAGTCAGCAAGATCTTATGATCTCAAAGCTCTTTTTGCAAACATATTTATTAAGGAAATTTTTAATGCTGATAAATACTAAGACTTTAGATACAGATTGATAGTGGCATTTTTGTCTTTTACTGTCTCACAGAAATAAGTTCCTTAGAAATGTATTATATGGATGAATTATATTTCTTCTTTGTAAACCAGACTTTCAACATGACTCAGCATTTACATAAGTAAAATCAAGTGGGCAATCACGCACAAACGTGTTGGTGAGGCCTTTATACTTCTTTCCTCCCATTTCTCTTACTATAGTTTGCTTGCATTCATAATACATTAACACTACTACTATGACTGGACCTGTTATCATCGTTACTGGTGCCTCCAGAGGTATGTCAAATTCACATCTGCGTTAGTGAATTTTGAGATTTTAACTATTCCTAGGCATTGGCCATTCAATTGTCACTCAGATCCTCAAGAAGGAACCCACTGCTAAAGTTGTGGGCGTATCCCGTTCCGAGGAGCCATTGAAGCAGCTTGCTTCCGAGTACCCTGAAAGATTTGCTTATGTCGCAGGCGACTTACTCAAAGATGATACCTCCAAGGAGGTTATCAAGAAAGCCATTGATACTTTTGGTCACATCCACGGAGTTGTTCTGAACGCCGGTGTTTTAGAGCCAGTTGCTAGTATCGCAGACGCCAACATCGATGAGTGGAGAAAGCTCTATGAGATCAATGTGTTGTCGCCGCTGTCACTGGCTTCTAAAGCTATTCCTTACCTCAGATTTACTTCGGGCAGACTTGTGTTTGTTTCCAGTGGTGCCTCTGTGTCTAACTACCGTGGTTGGGGTGCCTACGGTAGCTCCAAGGCTGCCATTAACCACATTGCGGCTTCGATTGCTGCCGAAGAGCCCAGCATTTTCTCTATTTCAATTGCACCTGGAGTAGTTGACACTGACATGCAGGTTCAGATCAGAGAGAAACATAAGGCAAACATGTCTGAGGAGAACCACAAGAAGTTTACCACCTTGAAGGAGACAGGTCAGCTCTTGCCTGCGCATGTGCCTGCAACCGTTCTGGCGAACCTGGCTCTCTACGGCCAGGGCGACGACATTAATGGCAAGTACCTGCGCTACAATGCCCTGGAATTGGACTCTTACAAATAAATAAAAACAAATATAATGTAATAACTGGATCGATAGTGTTGTATTTCTTTTTCTTTTTTTTTTTTTTTTTTTGTTAAAAGCTCGTTCTAGGGGTTGTGTCTAGGTAATTGCCCTAACAGCCTAGAATTTTAAGGTTTTCTTTTTTTTTTTTCTTCCCTATTGAAATTATTTGTTCTTCTTCGTGTCACTTTTTTTGGAATTTCTTCTTCATTCGCTCAAGGAATCTATTCAACAATGAAATATCTGCAAACTTCCGCTCGTCTGGCCACTAGGGCGATTCGCCCCCGCCTTTCTGTCGCCCCGTCTTCTATCTGCCTGAAGAACTTCAAAATGGCTAAGCTTTACTCAACCACCCCTCCTCCTCCCCCTGAGAGAACTGTGCGTCCTATCAGATCTAAGCCGGTCGTCGACATTAAGGAACAACAGAAGAAGGAACAGGAAGAGAAGTCTAAAGCCTCGGGCAGCAGGAAAATTAAGATCCTCCTGGTACTTGGTTCCTTGGCTGCGGCCACGACTGTTCTTCGCAAGTACCTTAAGCCTGATTCCCGTAAGTTTTTGTCACGTGGTCGTGTATACTATTGAACAACTGTCATTCCTCTTTAGTTTAACTTCTTTCCTCCTCATTACTAACACCCCCTTTTTTATATCTAATTCTATATAGTCCCTGAAGCTTCAATTGACTCTGAAATAATGGCTGAAGCTACTCCTACTCGTGCTTTCAAAGACGGCGAAGTTACCGTCATTTTCGTTCTTGGTGGTCCCGGATCAGGCAAGGGTACTCAATGTGCCAAACTTGTCAAGGACTACGGCTTTACCCACCTTTCTGCCGGTGACCTGCTCCGCGCTGAGCAGAGTCGTCCCGGTTCTACCTATGGTAAATTAATTGCTGACCACATTAAGGCTGGCACCATTGTTCCTCAGGAAGTGACTCTTGCTTTGCTTGAGCAGGCCATGCGCGAATCCAACAGTAAGAAGTTCTTGATTGACGGTTTCCCCAGAAAGATGGACCAGGCCATCAAGTTTGAGGACGATATTGCCGTGTCTAAGATGATTCTTTTCCTTGACTGCCCTGAAGAGGTCATGGAGAAGCGTCTGCTTAAGAGAGGCGAGACCAGCGGCCGTTCTGATGACAATATTGAGTCCATCAAGAAGCGCTTCAAGACCTTTGTCGAAACCAGTATGCCTGTTGTTGATATGTTTGAGAAGCAGAACAAGGTTGTTAAGGTCAAGTGCGACCAGCCTGTTGATGTTGTCTACGAGCAGATTCAGAAGGCTCTCAAGAAGTTTGACATCTAGTTTTGCTTCTATTGTCTAGGAAACCTTGCACAATGTTGGGTCTTTGTATTGGTGTCAGTTTCTGATAGTTTATGCACTGGATAACAAGTGAAAAAAGTGACAGTTGTTTGTAAGTCGACTTGGCATTATTTCATAATGATTGGTTTTGATTTTGGTGACAACTAGAGGGGCTTTTTGAGATTCCATCGTCAGAGTCCATAATCTATTTCCTTGTTAAGTTATTTTTTTATTTTTTGTTTTTAAATTAGATATATACCTAATCACTTAGCTGAAGGCGTGAAACCCTTATTGCAAAATAATTTTTCAACCTTATTTCTACTAGAGTCCCATACAGTTTATTTGATTCATCTGAAGATATTTACAGATGGCTTATAACCTCAAAAGTAATTTGATGAGAAAAGCAAAAAGTTTCGATTCAAAATACTTTTTGCTGGCCATCTCATAGTTGATTTATTCAATTTCTTGGTTTCTGGATTACTACTTGATCTTCATTGATGACCAAGATTTTGTGGCGCTTTTTTACAATATATAATATATATTAATTAGCATATGTGAACTTGGTTCATTATCTTTAGATCAGAGATTAAATGGCAAGTCTTATAATGAAAAATACTTATTGTAACCATTTGATGTAAGGACAATAAACTGATTTTCTATCTAATAAAAAATACATGATGTCACATTATATTCTTTTTAAAAGGAAACAAGTAAAAAAAAATTTCCGATGATAAACTTGAAAAAATAAAGTTCCCTAATGCGTGTTACAAATTCTGGTATTTGAGTGTTGCCAGGTTCTCTAGACTCATGTCTTAAGAAGTGCATAAACACACTGGACATTTGACGCCAAGTCTGGGCAGACAATGAAGCTTCAACAAACTATCTTAATCAGCCAAGTCATAAGTACAGAAGCTGCAAATTAAAACTTTCCCATTGCACTGAGTCTCTATTTAATATCAAACACAATATATCTAGATCGAGGAACCATTTGAAATTTTATCACGCTGGAAAAAAAAAATTGCAAAGTAAACTATCTCAAGACAGAATATATATATATATATACTGATTCAAACTGATCACATACACTAGCACAAATAATCCATTTCATCAAAAAACACCATAGATAAATAATCAGTTCATTGTGCTTACATCGAATAGTTACAAACAAATTTATAAAACAAAATAACATACACAGAAGAGATGAATTTCAAAAATATATACAAAGAAGACATCAACTTCCTTAAATACTAGGAGTTTTTCATTAGTCGAAAATTTACAATGAAGCTTATTAATGCTGGGTCAGTATCTTCAAGTTATATTCATCATAAAAACGAAAAAAAAATCATCAAAAATATAAACCTGCCGTTGCCCAGAATCGAACTGAGGTTTCTTCGGCCACAACGAAGTGTACTAACCACTATACTACAACGGCTTAACATGAAGTCTAAAGTATTTCAAAATAATAGTATAACAATATAGAAATTTACAAACTTTTGTTTAAATTTACCGCCCTGCTATCAGTGTTTTGGTATGACCTCAAAAACACCAACTATTGAATATAGCAAAGTATAATGGTTCAAATAAATTTGATAAATAACTCTAATAGGCTTCACCAGACAGATTCTGTGGAAAAGTGCCCATCATGGAAGCACACCCGTGCCATTCGTGCTGTGAGCCCAAGAAACCCTGTGTGGAAACTTGCAAACAGCAGTAAGCTACCAAAGGGTGATCTTGAAAAGCTGTTTGCTAGAGTTAAGCGAATGAATGGAGTTGACGATGACAAATACTGGAGAAAGCGTCCGCCATGGAAGCAGTCAAACTATTTACGCAGCATGAAATCAGACAAAGCCTTGCAAAAGCTGAAAAGCAATTTACATGTTGCTTCGCGTAACGAATGGCAATCAGATTATGGCACACCAGGTGAAATTAGCCACTATTACTCTATCGTCAAGAGAGAGTTGTAGGGAGGAAAGTACCCTAATCCACTGAGATCTTTCATGAGTAGCGTGTCTCGTCATACCTTTAGCAAGTTGTTTCAACTTCGCACAGGTCATGGCGTCCTGGGAA